GGCTCTGCATGCTGAAGCTGTACCAGAAGCGTCACCCGGACATCAACGCCAGCGCCTACAGCGCCTACGCCTGCCTGGCCCTCGTCATCTTCTTCTCTGTGGTCGGTGTGGTGAGTACAGGGGTGCCTATGAGGGGGTGGGGGGCAGCCGGTCAGGGCACCCCATTGCCCACCGTCTGCTCGCCCCACAGGTCTTTGGAAAGGGGAACACGGTGTTCTGGATCGTCTTCTCCGTCATCCACATCGTGGCCACGCTGCTGCTGAGCACACAGCTCTACTACATGGGGCGCTGGAAGCTGGGTGAGGCGGGGGCACTGCTGCAAGTGGGGCAGGGGGAGGCAGCTTCTCCTTATCCTTGTCGTTATCCTTCTTCTTTCTCCTTCTCCCTCCCCTGTCCCCGCAGACTCGGGCATCCTGCGCAGGATCCTGCACGTGCTGTACACAGACTGCGTCCGGCAGTGCAGCGGGCCCATGTACGTGGTGAGTGCTGGCACCGGGGTCCCCAGCCCTGCAGACACCCCTCCTTGCACCCCTCCTGCCCGCCCTCACCTCCCCTCCGCACCCTTTGCAGGACCGGATGGTGCTCTTGGTCATGGGAAACATCATCAACTGGTCACTGTGAGTGCGGAGCCGGGCACACACCAGACCCTGCACCGCTTCCCCCAGCCCAAACTGTACTCCCATCCCTGCTGCCATCCCCATCCCACTCCTGCAGCACGGAGCCCTGGCTGCGGTCCCCTCCCTGGGGAGCAGAGCATGACCGCCCCCCCATCGCTGCAGCAGCCCCTGGGGGACAGCGGGTGCATGGGCACGGCAGGCAGGGCCCCCGATGCTGCGCTGACCCCGCTGCCTGTCCCTGCCTCCCCAGTGCTGCCTACGGCCTCATTGTCCGTCCCAATGACTTTGCTTCCTACCTGCTGGCCATCGGCATCTGCAACCTGCTCCTCTACTTCGCCTTCTACATCATCATGAAGGTGGGAGGCGAATGCGCTGTGTGGGGCGGGCAGTGCAGGGCCGGGCCCCCCGCAGCCCCTGCTGCACGCTGACCCCGCCTGCCCCACAGCTGCGCAGTGGGGAGCGCATCAAGCTCATCCCCTTGCTCTGCATCATCGGCACCTCCGTGGTCTGGGGCTTCGCCCTCTTCTTCTTCTTCCAGGGGCTCAGCACGTGGCAGGTGAGTGGTGGGTGCTGCAGGGGGCTGTGGGGGGCTGCGGACCGGCGCGGTGATGGGGGTCCCTGTCCCCAACAGAAAACCCCGGCCGAGTCCCGGGAGCACAACCGCGACTGCATCCTGCTCGACTTCTTTGATGACCACGACATCTGGCACTTCCTCTCCTCCATCGCCATGTTTGGCTCCTTCCTGGTAGGTGCCGGTTGCCACTGCACGGCTCCCGCATCCCTGGTGTCCCCCCCCCACCTCACCCGGTCCCCTCGCTCCGCAGGTGCTGCTGATGCTGGACGATGACCTGGACTGTGTCCAGCGGGACAAGATCTACGTCTTCTAGGGGCCCGCAGCCGCCCGTGCCCCGGGACTGTGCCAAACGCAGCCCTAAGGGTCCAGCCGGGCCCCACCAGCCACTCCGTCCCCCTCCCCGGGGGTCCCGGTGTGCCTCGTCCCCACCGCCGGCTCCCTCACGGCTCTCTGTGCCCGTCCCCAGGCTGTCAGAGCCAAAACCAGGGCTAGGGGCTGCTGGTGCCACTGGCAAAGGTGCTGCTGCCGCTCCGTGCCCGTGGTGTGGGGCGGGGGCCCTGGGTAAGGGCCGTGCCAGCAGCCCCGTGCCCCCAGCATGCGGGTGGGGGTCTCTCTTCAGTGCCTGAATCGTGGGGATGGGGGGGGTGTGGGCCCGGCAGTGGCAGCCGGGGGGGGCCCCACTGGTGTCTGCTGCAGCATCCCGGGGGGGTGCCAGCCGTTGCGTGCCCCCCGACGAGGCTGTGGCGTCTCCACGCGTGGGTCTGCTGGGAAGGGACTCGCATTAAAGTGTCTGCACTTTGCCTCCTGCCTCCTCCCGGGTACCGGGGGGCAGTGGGGGGGCAGCGAAGGTGCCGGTGCCCGTCGGGGGTCGCTGGGAGCGCCCTGCGCCGGCAGCTCCGCGGCTATAGAAGGCCGGGCTGCGCCGCGCAGAGGCACGCGGGGAATGCGCGGGCGCGAAGCGCAGCCCCCGATTTTCGGAGTCTTTCCCCAAATATGGTGCCGGGGCCGGCGCCCCCCGGGACGGGAGGGGCCGGGGCGGGGGGAACCGGGGAGCCCCCCCCCCCCCGCGCTGACATCACCGTCCCGGCGCCCAGCTTTTAGCGCGGGGCCGCCCTCCCGAGCGCGCAGTGCCCGCTCCGCGCCGCGCAGCACCCGCGTCCGACTGCACCGCCCGTGAGTGTGCGGGGGGGCCCGGGGGGACCGCAGCGATGGGGACCGGTGACCGGGATGGAGCCGCTGCTGCCGGGATGGGGATCGCGGCCCCGCGATGGGATGGAGCTCTGGGGATGCGGCTGCTGCTCCTCGGGTTGCAGCGCTGCTCCTGCCCCCCAGCACCACGCTGCTATTGGGGCTGTGGGGCTGTGGATCGGGCAGGCTCAGCCCCACGGTGGCCGGAGGGGCTGTGTGGGGCTCAGAGCAGGATCAGAACAGTGTGGAGGGGGTGATTGCAAACCCCACTCACCGCTGTATGTCCCGTATCTCTGCTTGGGGACCAGAGATAGGCATTGGGCTGGTGGGCTCTCAGGCATCTAGTGCCCAGCAGGCACGGCCATGGGGTGGAGGGAGCTGTGAGCAGTGAGGCTGGGGCCCAAATGCCATCATCGTGTGCCGGGCTGGGACATGGCACAGGGCACTGCTGGATGTGGCTGTTGGTGCTCAGGATGTGGGCAGTGGCTTCCTGTGGGGCTCACGGAACACCCCTACATAAACCATGGGCTCATGGGGTATCAGCGCATGGCCGGCAGCAGGCGGGGTCAGCATCCTCTGCCGCACCGAGCTGCGCCAGGTCTCAGCCATCCCAGAGGATCCAGCGTCCCCAGCGGTCGTGGGGAGCCATCCCGGGGCAGGGTATGGATGTGGGACCAAGCCGGCGGCTCCCCAAGGGCACAGCCCCGGTTCTGAGGCTTAACCTCAAGCACGGAGCAGCGCGGGAGGAGCGGGGCAGCGCCACCGAGGGCTGGGCTCCCGGCTCCCGGCGCCATTCCCGCCTGGCATCCTCCTGGCACCCTGCAGCTACCTGCGCTCCCTGCCCACAGCATGTCCTTACAAGGGCACGGGCACGGCTCCCACCGCATCCTGCCTCGCCTGCGCTCCTCCTGGCGCCTGGAGTCACCGCGCTGGGGCCACCCCACTGTGCCACGGTCACCAGCCATGGTCACCCTGCCTCCCCATGGGGACAGCTCTGGCTGCAGGATGCAGCCACACCAGCAGTGCCCGTGCCAAGAGCTGGCAGGCGGCTGAGGCTGGGCTGAGGCTGCCCTGGGGCACATCCGAAGCCTTGGAGCAGGGAGAGGGCACCTGGGCCGGCAAGGGAAGAGCTGTTGGAGGACGCCCCGAGGTGCTGGGGTCTCAGCAGCACCTCCACATCCCGACAGTCCCCAACCCTGCACCAGGTCTCCCACGTGCCGCAGCGATGGCGAACAAGGGCCCGGCGTACGGCATGAGCAGGGACGTGCAGTCCAAGATCGAGAAGAAGTACGACGACGAGCTGGAGGAGCGGCTGGTGGAGTGGATCGTGGCGCAGTGCGGGGCCGCCGTGGGGCGCCCCGAGCGGGGCCGCCTGGGCTTCCAGGTCTGGCTGAAGAACGGTATCGTAAGTGTGGGGCCGGAGCTGCAGGGCCGTGGGGCAGGTGTGTGTGTGTGGGGGTGCTGCGCAGTGCAGTGACCCCAGGCTCTCCTCTGCCCGCAGGTCCTCAGCAGGCTGGTGAACAGCCTCTACCCCGACGGCTCCAAGCCCGTGAAGATCCCCGACACCCCCCCTACCATGGTCTTCAAGCAGATGGAGCAGATCGCCCAGTTCCTCAAGGCAGCCGAGGACTACGGCGTGGTCAAGACCGACGTGTTCCAGACCGTCGACCTCTTTGAAGGTGCGTGGGGAAAGCGGGGTTGGGGAGGGATGGGGCTGCTGCGCTGTGCCCATCCTCACCCCCTCCATCCATCGCAGCCAAGGACATGGCAGCGGTGCAGAGGACGCTGATGGCGCTGGGGAGCCTGGCGATCACCAAGAACGACGGGCACTACCATGGGGACCCCAACTGGTTCATGAAGTAAGTGTGGGGGGAGCCCAGTGCCGGGCGTGGGGACTCCCCTGCCCCACGGCAGTCTGGAGCGGGCTCTTCCCGCTGCCGGGATGCGGGAACGGCGGGTGGCCGCGCATCCCCGGTGAACGCCCCCCAGGGGGTGCGGGTGCTGCATGTCCCGTCCCTCCATCCCATAGGAAAGCGCAGGAGCACAAGCGGGAGTTCACCGAGAGCCAGCTGAAGGAGGGCAAGAACGTCATCGGCCTACAGATGGGGAGCAACAAGGGGGCATCACAGGCGGGGATGAGCTACGGCCGGCCCCGGCAGATCATCAGCTAAGGTGTCCCGTCCCCCCCGCCCGCTGCCCCCGGCCCAGCGCCGGGGCCACCACCGCCCCTCACACTGGTATTTATTGGCACGAACGCGCCCGCCATCGCCAGCGCCGCTCCGCAGCCATGGGCTGAGCCCGGAGCCACCCGCAGCCCCGCCGCAGCCACCGCCGCAGAGACGCTCGCATCGGGGAGGGAGCAGAATTGGCCTCGGTTTTGTACTTGGGGTTCGGTCAACATTAAAAGGTTCTTCATTAGCGCGGCTCCGGGCTCGCTCCCTCCATCCCCGCAGGGTGCAGCCGCCCTCTGCGCAGCAGCTGAGGATGCGGCGCGGCCCCGCTCCTTGCTCCGGCCCTGGGGGGAGCATCCCGGTTATCCCGGCTCCCGGGAGCAGGGGAGAGGGCGGGCCGGCGGGGGGAGTCACGGCTCGGCGGCGGCAGGGGAGGGAGCCCGGGCAGGGGAGGGTTTTCCAGGCTTTATTTGGAAAGCTTCACAAAAGGGCTCTGCTCATTAAAAAACCAACCCCGGCGCTAGAAAAATAAACCCAGGGACACGGGAAGGAGCCAACCCCGCGCTGAGCCGCTGCCAGAGCAGCTCAACCGCCCCTCTCCAGCCCCACTGCGGGCATCTCCCATTGCCTCGTCCATCCCGGGCACCAGGAGCAGGGATTGGTGCCCTGGCGCCTCCTGCCTGCCCAGGAGCACAGGGCACAGGTTGGAGATGGGCACAAGGCTCCTTTCTCCTAAGCTGGGCCTAAGCGGTGGGCACGAGCCAGCCCCTAGCCCAGTGGGGCAGGAACGGCAGCGCTATGGGGGCCCCGCTGCAGTGTCCAGGCTCACTCTGCAGGGTTCGGGGCCAAAGCAACGCTTCTCCCTGGCCATGGAAGCAGTGACGTGCATGGGGGCTCGCAGGAGGCATCGCTGTGGGGAAGCCCTGAGCATCACTGCAGGGCAGGCTCCTTAGGAACAGGTTTAAGGCTTGCTTTGTGTTCCAGAGCGAGGGAAGGGGAAGCTCCCCTTCCGCTGCCAGCACTCTTCCTCCTGGGTCCTGAGCCGCTTCCCGCCACCTCCCGCGGGACACAGGGCTCGGGGAGCCCGTGCTGCCCATGCAGGGAAGGATGTACCCGTACCAAGGGGGTGTCACAGCCCGCACCCCCAGCCCCAGCTAGCACGGCCGCTGCTCCCTGTCCTCCAGCAGCAGCTCTGCCGTCTCCTCCCGGCCGCTGGGCACTTTGGGGCTCCAGGACCGGTCCTCCCCATCCCGGGCTGGCTCTGGGTGCTCACACTCCAGCTCCACATCCTCCGTGTCCTTCTCCCGGTACAGCGGCACGGACTCCATCTCCAGGCCGCTCTCCAGGGCTCTGTGCTTCCCTCCCTGCTGGTACCACCTGCAGGCGGTGGAGCCGGCGCAGGCCAGGTCCAGCCCCGCGTTGTTCCTGGTCAGGCAAACCTCCAGCATGTAGTAGAACGTCCAGAACACGGCAAAGCATCCGAGCAGCAGGAGGGTCTGCAGGGGAGGAAGCCCCTTCAGAAACAAAGCCCTGCCCCAATGGCCAGCATCGAGCCTCAGCACCAGGAGCATCAGTGGGGCTGGTTCTCACTCTCCCTCCTGGCAGAGGATGGGGTCCCCCTGCTCGGTGCCAGCCCCAGCGTCCCCCTCCCATGGGCAGGCTCACCTTGAGGGTGTTGGCTGTGATGGTGAAGCGCTGCTCCTCTGGGATCTCCAGTCCTGGAGGGCAGGGCAGGGAGAAGTCGCTGCTCAGGTACTGCCCGCTCATGGCCTCCTCCAGCAGCCTGTGGGATCGAGGCACACATGAGGGTCCCATAGGGAGGGCTGCTCCAGGAGGGTCCCCAGGGTCTCTTCCACCACTGTGGGCTGCCCTCCTGGGTCAAACCCAGCCACTGAGCTGTTTTCTACTGCCCACAGCTCCCCTGTGCTGGGTACTGAGGGCAGCCCCATGGCCCTGTGCGACCAGGCTGCAGCTTCACCCTCCATGCACCACACAGCAGCCCTGCTCCAGGCAAGCAGTGCCTCAGGATGATGTCCCTCAGCCCTCCATTAATGACCTCCCCAGCAGGACAGGGCTGTGGCGTCCCACCTCTGCCGCTCCTTCATCTCCGCTGGGGACCAGGAGGAGCCGTACAGGGTCAGCTGCCACTGCTTCAAGGTCCCAGGCCTCAGGCTCTCATCTCCTGGGGAAGAAACAGGTTGGTCCAGTGGGAACTGTCCCACCCGGCCGGGCAGCACCAACCCATGGCCACACGGAGCTGCTGCCGCATGAAGGTCCCGAGGGCGGGACTCACCGATGTCCCTGATGACCAGTCTGTAGGTGCCCTGCGCCTCCTCGCCCCAGCACCTGACCGTGGAGAAGGTCCAGTCAGCAAAGCCATTGGGGTCCCTGCCAAAGGGGGAGGAGAAACAACCCCTGAGAGGGGCTGGACCGGGCGCCGGTGGGTGTCCTGCCCTGTCCCCCCCACCCCGTGCTTACGAGTCCATGCTCCTGGCGGTGCCTATCAGGGACACCATGCCGCTGGGGCAGAAGAGCCGGATCTCCAGGTTGCCGCGGCGGGGATGGGTTATGGTGACGGTGACAGCCACGTGCTCCAGGGTTCTCATCCCGGATTGCTCCAGGTCTGCGGTGCTGACTGGGAAAGGGCAGGTGGTTGGGATGGAGCCCCCCTTCCCAGGAGACACGTGCTCACCTCTGTGCCCTTCCGTGCCCTGCCTGAGTTCAGCCAGGACGGATGGAGAGGATGGGGAGAAAGGGCTGAGCAGGAGGTGTTGGGGAAGGAGGGGTGAGAGGCAACTGCACAGCAGCGGGGAAGCTGGCTCCTGGGCATCTCCCAGCACACCCAGAGCAGGAAGGTGACAGGAGCCCAGGCTTTGCCCTGCTCACACGCAGGGACCCAAGGCCCTGCCCTCTCATGCACCAGCAGCCTCTCGCCTGCATCCAAACCTCCTGTCACAAGTGGGGCCCTGCCGATCCCTACACGTCTTGTGCCATGGGCTCCGTGACACCCAACCTTCTCCCTCCCAGCCCTGACTCACAGGCTGTGGGCGCAGGAGCCCGCCCAGGGCGCTGTGGCAATGCTGGGGGCCGGGGAGGGCTTGGGGCCGAGCTCCGCTTCCCACTGGTAGCAGCCGGAGCAGCGCCTTGTTTATGTGGAGAGAGGGAGGCCAAGTCAGGAGCTGGAGCATTACCTAAAATGGTCAGAGCCAGAGGAGCAGGTCTGGCTGCTGCCCAGCCCGGCCACGCTCCCAATGCCTGTCTGGCTCCGCAAAGCCATCGCTCCGTGGGATGGAGCTACGGGGAGGGGACCACATGGACCCACACAGCTCCCTTGGGGAAGGCAGAGGAAGCAGAGAGGAAGAAGCCCAGGCAGCCGATGCTTAACCCCTTGGTGCCCTCGCACAGCCCCTGTGTTCTGCCCCACGCCACGGGGCCTGGGCTGGATGTGGCCCTGGTGCGCCCAGCGCGTGCTCTCACCGTTCCAGGCAGCCTCCAGCTCCCGTGGAAGCAGCGGGATGCTCCGGCCCTCCCGCAGGGCCGGGCTCACGTAGGAGGCGAGGTACGGGACAGACTCCCACACCTGCAGGGGAAAGGGCAGGATCCAGCACGAGGATGCAGCCTCCCTGCACATCCCATCTCCGTCTCCCAGTGCTCCTGAAGCTGCTCCCTGTGGGTGTGCCAGGGGCTCTGTCCTGACACTGCTCTGGGGCACCCCGGCAGCACAGTGGGGCTGCAGGAGTGGCAGGAAGGTGATGGCCAGGGGCTGGAGGGTCCAACTGAGGCCTGGGGCTCCCCATCCTGGGTTTGCCTTTGCCATCACCCAAGTGGCTTTAAGCAGTTACTTGAAGCCGTTCTGTTTCAACCCCAGGTACAGCAGGGCAGGAAACACAGACCCATAGTACCACAGAGTGGTTTGGGTTAGAAAGGACCTTAAAGCTCATCCAGTCCAGGGACACCTTCCACTGGAGCAGCTTGCTCCAAGCCCCTGTGTCCAACCCGGCCTTGAGCACTGCCAGGGATGGGGCAGCCACAGCTTCTCTGGGCACCCTGTGCCAGCGCCTCAGCACCCTCACAGGGAAGAGCTCCTGCCTAAGAGCTCAGCTCAGTCTCCCCTCGGGCAGGTTAAAGCAGAACCCAAAGGCCTGCAGGAAGAGAGCATCGCTGGCCAGCAGCAGTGACCCAGCACAGCTACAGTGCTCTGAGTGTGAGCGAGGACCAAGTGCCAAAGGGATGTGCCCTGCTCACACCGGGAGGGAGGGATGGGGACGCCCTGGCCTGCTCTGAGCACGCCACTGCCTCGGCAGCCCCAGGGCTGCCAGCTCAGAACCCCCTGTTTGCCTGGGGCACGGTGCCCGCCCTGCAGACCCTGTGCAGGGAGGAGGGTGCTGATGCTGCTGATGGAGCTGCCCAAGCCATGAATCAGAGCTGTCGTCTCCCAGCAGCGGAGGCTCTCGCCATGGCTATATATAGTGCTGGGAGCGCTGCAGCTGGGGCAGGTCTCAGGCTCTGCCGAAAGCCTCATGACTTCATACCCAAAGCAGCCTCGCAGCGAGGGCTGGCCAGACGATGGCCGAAGGCTGGCCCTCAACAGCACCCGTGTCTCCCCATGGCACTGCCAGCACAGGAGCCGTGTCCGTGATGGCACGGGGAGGGAATTACCTTGGCAGCGTTCACCAGCCTCCAGGCGTTCAGCAGCCCGAAGCCGTGCTGATGGCTGTGGCTGAAGCCCGCCCGGTTGGTGTCCCACTTGGCGTGACGGTCCTCGTACTGCGGCGAAACACAGGGCACTCCTTACCCGGGGGGCAAACCCATGGCAAAGCCAACCAGGCCCGAAGGGAAGGAGGCTCAGGAACGTCCCACAGCAGAGGGAAGGAACCCACATGGCCTTATTAGACAGGAACAGGTTGACCTTTGTTTGAAGCGGGTCCTTGCACAAACAGGCTTCCCAGCTCCTCAGAAAGGAAATCAAGCAGCACAAAAGGGCACAAATGCCTCTGCTCTGAAACATCCCAGCTGCTCCCTGCTCCCTCAACCACAGCCCGTGGGATGGCAGGAGCTTGGTGAGAAGGAACCAACTCCTTTAAATCAACAAGAGCAGGGCCAGGACAGATCTGGGTCCCATCACTTATTGGGTTGTAGCGCTCTGGCAACACGGGCCTGCACTTGTGGAAAACACTGCCCCGTGCCAAAGGGAGCACAGCATGGGCTGGACACGGACTCCTGCTGCCAGAGGGTGTGGAAGAAGCCCCGTCCCAAAGCCGAACCGGGCAGCTCCAGTCAGCTCCCCTCCTACTCCTGATCCCTGCAGTGAAGCTGTGCTGGAGCAGAGGCCGAGTGAAAGGAAGGGCTGTTTGCTCCCCAGCTCTCCATTCCATGTGTTCCCAAGAGCCTGTCTCTCTGGGGAGCCCCAGGAGAGGCCGGAGCAGAGCAGAGATCCTTGCTTTCCCCCTGCATGGGCTGTGGGGTGGCACTGAGGAGCTGCATCCATCCCTTTGGGCCGGGATGCGCTGCACGCGCACACGGTGCGTGCGAGGCATGGGGAGCCCCTGGAAGACCTGTACCCTGGCAGCTGGAGGCATTCCTGAGGCAAATACCCCATTTATTATCCTGACAGAGGAAAGTGCTCCAGCCACATTCCTGGAAGGAACACGGGGTGAGGGGGAAACGTAATCCCTTTGGGAGCCAGACAAGCGAGAGATTTATAGAGGGGCAGGCGGACATACACAAGGATGCGCACAGCAGGACCAGGGCCGTGCCGCAGCACCCATGAGGGGCAGGGGTGGAGGGAGGCAGGGCCAGCACTCACCTTGGTGGCGGTGAAGACGATGATGTGCTGGACATCCCTCCAGGTGAGGCAGGGCCGTACCTGCAGCATCAGCGCGATCATCCCGGCTGCGAGAGGAGCAGCGGCTGAGGTCCCGGTGTGCCCCTCCGTGCAGCCCGTGCCCTTCTGCAGGTCCCAGTCTGTGGTCACCTGCAAGAGAACAGAGATGCCTCCCGTCAGGACACCGCTCCCACGCTGGGACAGGGATAGCCCCTTGCTGCGCCAGCTCCGCCATGCTCACAGAACACAGCACGCAGTGTCCCAAGCCAGTCCCCCTCCTCACAAGGCTTTCAGACGGAACAAGGTCGTTCTCCGGGTGCTCAAGGATCCCCCCTCCACAGCAAAGGCACGGGGAGGGGGTCCCTGCCCCCTGCCTGCATGACCCCCAGCTCAGCCGCCTGCCTCCCAGCATCTGCTCCGCACAGGCTGCTACCCCCGGACCGCAGGGAGGAATTTGCACACACGAGCTCTCTGCCTGCCTGTGGTTGCCCAGATGAGGCTGGAGACAGCCGGGGCAGCCAGAGGTCCCATCGCCCTCCCTCACACAGGAGCAGGGCAGTGGGACAGGGTCAGGGATTAGCTGCTGGAAATGCTTCCCAGGCAGCTGTCAGGCAGGACGTGGGTACCCAGCAAGGAGCAGCACAAGGAGGGCAGGACACCGGGACACCACTGCAGGAGGTAGGGCCTGGAGCTGGGATCCAAGCGGTGCACGTCCAGCTTGACCACGGAGGCTGGACCAGCCCTTGTGAGAAACTTCTGAGTTCACCCAACCTCCCTGGGGCTTCAGAGGGACAACTCTGCCCCTGAGCACGCAAACCAGTTCAGGGAGAGGCCCAGCCCCAGACTGGAGCACCATGAGTGTTCCCCAGGCCACCTGCACAGCCACGCTGCCCTAGGACCAACCCAGCAACCCAATGAGCTGCTGCCACCTCTCACAGGGACCTTGCATCAGGGATGAGGCATCCCAGTTGAGAAGCAACGAATGAGGATCATCTCCTTTAGGGAAAGAGAGGAACCGGGCCTGAATTAAGCAACTCCAGGGGAAACTCATGGCAGTTCCAGTGTGGGACCTTCCCCATTTTCATTGCTGACCACAGCATCACAACCAGCACATGCAGAGGGACCACACGGGACCGCCCAGAGCCTCGAAGAGGCAGTGGGACACTCCCAAATGATGGCACCTCAGTGCAAGCCGAACGTGCCCATCTCCCTGTGCTCCCCATGGGGTACAGCCTGCACTGCCAGAAGCCGTGGGGTTGGTGCCTTCTCTGCCTGACTCCCTCACGCTGTGTGCTCAGATGCTGCACGTCCCACAGAGAACCCCCCGAGCAGCATCAGCTGCAGGAGGAAATGCAGCTGGTGCCAGGAGCTGGATTAAATTCTTCCCATTAAGGAAACCACAGGGGTTTATAGGCTGGTAAAAGAGAGAGCCCGCAGAAGGCTGCTGAGAGCTTAACTCTGACACCACCGCGGCACAAGGAAAGGGCATTCAGGGCACGTTACCCTGCAGGAGAGGGTGTGCAGGTTGGAACGTGCCATGGGCTCACCATGAAGAGCAGCTGTGGTGCTGCCAAGGAGCAGGACGGTGTCCTGCCATGTGGCATCCCGTCCTGCCTCCCCCGAGGAACACCAGCTCCTCTGTCAGTGTCCCATGGGGCCAGCAATTGACATGAAGGGGCTTTTGAGACCTTGCAAGCCCTTGCCCCAGCAGCAGGCTCGGGGGAAGCGGAACCAACCCAGAAGCCTGTAACGGGTGGTGAAAGCACAGCAGAGCCCTTGCTTGGCCGCTCTTCCCTTTTTCCCTGGCGCCAGGAGTTTCCAAACCAGCCTGGGACAACCGAAGCGATTTCTGAAAGGGAAAACCAGCTCCGTTCTGGGTTTTACTTTCCCTGCCACATTCCCAGCCATTGCTCCGGGCGGATCGCACTGAGCCGTAGCCAGGCACGGATCCCCTGGGGCTGCGCTGCCTCATCCAGCCTTTGGGCATTCCCAGCGGGAGATCCCAGGCAGTGCCATCTATCCCAACTGCCCCGGGGTGGCTCGGGCTCCCAGACACGGCACAGCAGGACAGGACTGGCTCACAGCCTCCCCAAGCGTAGGAACGCGCTGGGTCAGGCCTGGGTCTGGTGGAGCCAGGCCCAGCTCCTTGGCTCGGGCAAAAAGGACATTTTGTTGACAAGAAGTCATTTTTTGGCAAAAAAAAAAGAGAAAAGCCGATAAAAATATTGTGCGGAATTCAGCCGGGAGAGAAGAGACAAGAGGATGGGGCCAAGCAGCTTAAAGAGCCCGACGCTGCTCCCAGCCCGCAGTGCTTGTCCATGCCCTGTGCCCTTGGGAGCAGAAGTGAGGGGTCTGGCCTGAGCCCCTTTTCCCCACAGTGGCACAGGGGTCTCGCTCCAGGCTTCCTCAATGTGCAAAGGAGCCACACGCCCAGCTGGGATGAAGCTCGTCTCCTCTGGCTCTGCCTGGGATGGGGCTGGGGCAGCTCCCAGGCGACATTTCCATGGACACAGCGCAGAGGAATTTCTTAGGGGTCACCCAAGCAGCCCCCTGATGACTGCAGGAGACGCCTGCCCCGCTCCCAGCAGTGCTGAGCAGGGAGGTGAGGGAACGTGGTCCCTGTCCCTGTCAGGGACACAGGGAGGATCAGTGTTTGGGAGCTCAGCGCGCCCATGAACACCCTCGCAGCGGGAAGGTCACCACGCTCCAAGTTACAGGCTGACAGTGACAGCACAGGAACAACCACAAACAGGAAGCTGCCTCCCAGAGCACTGCTTATGCAGGACCTAGATAAAGCCCATGTTTACCTCTGCCTCACAAGGGAACCCAACCACCAGCCTAAGGCAGACATGCGGCAGGCAAAGGGACTTTAACTTTGTCCTTCTCCACTCCGGGCTGTTCCAGAGCCTTGGAAGCCGTGCGCCCCGTCTGGTACTCACAATGCTCCTCATCATCTTGTCCCCACCGCTGAAGGTCACTGCTAACATAGAGGCACATTCCTCGGCATAGAAGGGCATGGAGCCTGTCTCGTCCACTGCACCTGGAAGAGAGGCAGACATGGGCTGGAGGGAGCCTGATCTTCCACCCCTCCTGCAGCTCCTGCCCTCGAGCCCATGATGGGGATGCTGGGTTTCAAGTCACTCCCTCCATGGCAGTGTCTGTCCCAGCTCCTGCACAAGGGAATGTCTCTGGCCTCCTCTAGCTCTGTAGGTCCAAAGGAAACTGCAGGACAGGCACCTTCCCACAGATTCCCACTGTCCAGCCAGCTTCCAGCCAGGAAGCTGTAACACTTTTGGCACGGAATGAGACAGAAGACACCCCCTCACCTATGGTGACAGTGTAGATGGAGTTGGCGTAACCATCATAGTTGCAGTTGTCGTTGTGCTGCCCGCCGTTGCCACTGGCCACCACGAAAATGCTCCCAAAGCCCCTGCGACCTGCGATGACGCCGTGCTGCAGGGCAGCCTGCGGAGAAGGGAATCATCTGGGAATGGCCACTCTATGGCTCCCTGGGAGGCTCAGCCTACGCTGCGCTAAAAGGAAGAGGAGGGAGAAGAAAAGCAACCCTGCAGGTAATGAGAGCACAAAGCCAGGCCAGAGCTTGACCTCCACAAGGACAGCAGCACCCCCCCAGCTTCACAGGCTCACTCTGCAGGTGGCTCTTCAAGGCTTTCCTGCCCACAGGCGCTACCCACACGTGGCCTCTCTGCAAGGCTCCAGCTCCCACGGCTTTGCCTTCACTGAGAAACAAAGGTGAAGGCAGGCACTGGAGCAGGCAGAGAGGCCTCCACACACAGTGCTGTGGCAGAGCAAGCTTTGCTTTGCTGGCACCCTGCGTCCCACTGCTTGCTGCAGCTGGCTCTGCATGCAGGAGGAGAGCAGATTAACTTGCAGAACTGGAAACCATTTGTCACCCTGGCCCGACAGCTCGGCTGCCAGCACTGCTCCCAACGCTGACTGCTAGCTTGTGGTTACAGAAGTACAGCAAGGGGCTGCCAAGCAAAAGGGAAATGAAGCAGAACCGCATCCCAGGAGCAACGTGCTGCCCGGTTTGGGGCTGCCTCTGTGACCCCTCACCACGGCACCTGGGTGTGTTTACTCCCTTACTCACTCCTAGCATCTGAAGGCACGCTCCCTGCTGGGAGCAGCACCCTGAGCACCAGGAATGCTGTGTCTCCAGAGCAGAGAGCGTCCCTTGGGCTGCCAAGGCTGTTAGGACACCAGCACAGGTTGCGAAAGAGCCTCTTCCTGCTGGAACCAGCCTCTCCCTGGGAAGCTGAGCTAATGCTGCCTGAACACTGCCCTCCCACAGCAACGTCACCTCTCCCCAGCACTGTAACGTGCAACACCTCTGCCGGCAGCCACGGGAGCAAGGAGACGTGCACTGCAGCCCAGCAACGTCACCCCAGGGGTGACCCGAGCTGCCGGGGCTGGTTTTACCTTTCCCAGTTGATGGGGGCCATCCACGGTTTTCCCATCATCATCTGGACCCCAGCTGCAAAGAGAGACACCAAGAAGTGACAGCCCAGGTGCTGCAGGCTCCAACTCCTCCGCCCATCGCGGTTTGCTGCTCCCAGTACAGGACTGGGATTGGAGGTGCTGCACCTCCCCATCCACTGGGCTGGCCCTCGCTGCTGGGATATCGCTGCCATGTTTGAGCTGTGCCCCTGGGTCAGATTCCAGTGCACAAACCGCTTGATTTTTACTTAAGAGCCAGCTTCAAACACATTCCAGTGCCCAGACAGGGCTCCCCCACCACGGGGGGCAGGCACAGTGCCCCCTCCAGCTCAGCCAGCCCATGGGACCTGCCCCAGCAGAGCACAGAGGGCAAGCCAGATCCCGGTAACAGGAATGCTGATGTTCCTCCTAACAGACCCCCTCGAGGCACGCTCATGGACACACCAGCAGTGCTGGTTTTGGTGCCTCCAGGCTTGCTGGAGCCACAGGAGGAGCCGTGACCCCGTCCCCAGGCTCACCTGCAGCTGTAGATGTCGTTGATCTGATAGTGCTTGTTGAAGGCAATGGCCTCCATGCTGTCAGTGAGGGGCCCGTCCAGAACTCGGATGCCTGCAGGACACAGGAGAACAAACATGAGGGCAGGATCAAAGCGAGCTGTACCAACAAACAGGCTCACACCAGGACACTGACCCTCCCAGCCTGATGGAGCTGTGACTCTGCAGCTCAGTGCATGGGGGCTACGTGTGAGTGAGGGACTGGAGGTGCACCCTGCACAGCTCCACATCTGCTGGATGCAGCTTTCTGCCAAGCCAGGCCTCTGGTCCCGCTGCCAGAACCAAGCTGGTGATGGTGACAGCACAGCCAAACACCGGCTGGGCCCACTCCTGCGTGCCCCTGAGCCCCCCTACCCAGAGCACTGCTCCCCAGGGGCTTCCTCACGCCCCAACCTCCTTATCCCACTGCTTTCAGGGCTAATCTCTGCTGGAGCAATCGCTTCCCTTCCCAGGTCACCAAGCAGCAGCTTTGGGATGGATGGCACGCTTCCCTGCTGAGGGAAGGGCTCAGGAGACGCAGGACACCCTGACTACTGGGCATGGAGCAGGAGGGCAAGGTCACCCCTCAGCAAAGCCAACAAAGGCTCCGTGCTGAGTCTGCAGCGCCCCGAAGCACTGGTAATTACTGCGTTGCATCAGAGTTTAGGCTGGCAAAGGACGTTACAGATGAAACCAGGCACACGCATCTCAATTAAGACCATTTAGCAGCAGCGCACCCACCCACCCATCCCCGCTCTCGCCTGACGCAGCACACGCGGCTTTTTACTGCCACAACCGAGCGCCTCACGGAGCGCTGGGCGCAGGGCAGGGGTGCAGAGCTGCGCCCTTGGGCGAGCTCCCGATCCTCTGCATCCCATCGGCACCCCGGGATACCCGCTCCCATCGCCAGGGAACGTGGCACCATCTGCCGAGCGCAGAGAGAATCGCGTCCGGGCTGCGGCGCGCTGGAGCAGGCACGTTGTCACTGCCGGGATCAGGCTGGGCACGAGGGATGCACGGATGTGCTTCTGCCCAGAGCCTGTGGCTGGGCTCTGGAGTTGCCACCCCAGCACACAGCTATCCCACCGCGCCAGGAAGTGCCTCCCATGGAGAGTTCCTCCCTCAACATCCCAAAGAAGGATCCGGCTGACTTGGAGCCAGCCCTTCTATAGCCCCAAGGTGCCGGAGCTGACCCAAGCCAGGCACGACCGCAGCACTTGGGGGTGTCAGGGTCACACCATGCACCCACCTGCGATGCGGCTCCCGTAGGCGACTCCCACCGTGCAGAAGCTGTTGTTGGGCACGGCAGCGATCTCCCCGGCGCAGCGCGTCCCGTGGTGGTTGCCGTTCTCCTCGTCAGGGTGAGGCATGGGGTCGGGATCGTTGGAGTTCAAGTCGTAGCTGCCTTCTGGGCTCTGCAAACAGACCCACAGTCACCCCTCAGGGCGCTGCGCTCCTGTCCTTGGGAAAAGCAGGGCTTCAGAGCGGGCTGCAACACAGCCTGGAAGCGATGGGAACTTAGAGGATGCATCCATGCAGGACTGCAGCTCCACACTGCTGCCTGCTGCCGTGGGAATGGGATGGGCAAAGACAGCTTCAGCAGCTGCTGCGGGTCAAAGGGGGCCAGCTCTCACCTCCAAGCGGCCATGGGTAGCACAAAGGCTGGGAGCCCAGCAGCGTGGGGGCACAGCATCCCAGGAAAGGCTTTCCCATTGGCACTTCCCACCCTGGCCGAGGCTGTGGGGCAGGCAGCGCTCAGTGCCCCCCGCACTCACGTAGTTCGGCTGTATGTCCTTGATGGTGTGCTCCACGCCATCATCCACCACCACCACCGTCACGCCGCGCCCCGTCACGTTCCGCTCCCACACCCCCGTGACGTTGATGTCCTTCCCGGGGCTCTTGCGGTTGTTCTAAGCACCGGAGAGCGGGGGGAAAGGGAAAGCGGAGCAGCGCATCAGGCACGGCGGTTACCCAGCGGGGTGACACGACCCCCCCCGGGCAGCAGGACCCGCACTCACCAGGTGCCACTGCAGCGGGTATTTGGGGTCGTTAAAGTGCAGGCTGCGCTTGGAGCGCTTGAGCAGCCTCTGCTCCGCGTGCCACCGCACGCTGTCGTGCTGGGCGAGCACCGCGTCCACCGCCCGCCTCACGGCCTCGGCACCGGCGCGCCCGCCGCGCTGGGCCCTGAACAGGTAATGGCCCCGGAGCTCCCCGACGCGGCCCATGTTCACCAGCCCCGCGGCGCGGGCCAGCTCCTCGGCGCGCTGCTCCAGCTCGTCCTCGGGCGCCTCCAGGCTGACGGCCCAGCTGAGCTCTTCGGGCCGGGGCTCAGCGCCCGTGGGCTCCCCGGGGCAGGATGAGGCGAGCGGGACCCAGACGGCGCTGAGCCAAAGGCATGTGTGGATGCAGAGCGTGGCCTCCATCCCTGCGCTCCATAGCGGCGCCCTCCGCTTCCAATGCCGCATCAGCGAGGCGGGCTGCGAGCAGGGGAGAGGAAAGCTGCTGAGAAACTCTTCCCGTCGGGAACAGGGCGGCCACAGCCTCACCTGAAGGTCCCGCGGAGCTCTACGGCTCCGGGCTCGCCATTCCAGGAAAACCCCTGGCAAGGTGGCTCCTTCCCAGTGGTGCAGCACCGGGACGCCACACGTGCGCCGGGACCGATCCCAAGCGCTGCAGAAGAGGAGCCACTTCCTTGTCTCAGCACGGAACCAAACGGCCCCTATGCGGCCCCACAGACACAGGTCGGGGTCGCTCCACGCTCCGCGCACAGCCCCACCGCGCCCCTTCCCACCCGCTCCGAGCCGGAGGGACCGCGGCACCGAGCCCCGGCACTGCCGGGGGATGGAGGTGGGGGGGGGGAAGCGCTTCCCGCTGTCCCGCTCCGCTCCGCACCGCTCCGCGCCGAGCTCCGCACCCCAGCACGTCCCCGCGGGGCCACCGCGGCCGCTCTCCCGCTGGAGGCTCTCTGCCTCCCGTACCGGTGCCCGGCCGGGCAGCCCCTCCGGAGCGGAGCCGCCGCTCCCGTCCCCGCCGGGCGCTCACCGGGCACGGGCCGGCGCTGCCGGAACCCCGCGGCCGCTGACAGCGCCGTCACTTCCTGCGCGGCCTCCGCTCCGCCAGGGCGGCGCTCGCGGCCCGGCCGCGCCGCTCCGTAGCGGAAGGGGCGGCGCGGGCCGTGGTGTCCGCTCCGCTCCGCGCCGCTCCGGGCCGGGCCCGGCCCTGCCGCACGCCCCATGGCGCTGGAGCAGGCGCCCACCGACGGCCCCGCCGCCGCGCCCGCCCCGCCGCGCCTCTGCGAGCCCGGCCCCGCCGCGCCGCCCGACAGGTAGGTGCTGGGCCCGGCGCGCCGGGGCGGGGGCAGCGGCCGCGCACCGACCCGTTTGTTCGCACAGCGGCAGCGCGCTCGCCGCCCCGGACAGCCCCGGCGGGGCGGCGCCGGCCGGGCCCGGCGCGGAGGCGGAGCTGGTGGCGGCCGGCGGTGAGGGCGAGCCCGGGCCCGGCGGCGCGGAGGCCGGCGGCGCGGCGGAGGAGCCCGGCCCCGAGGCGGCCCCGGCCAGGCCCTCGCAGAACATCGCGGTGCAGGTGGGTGCCCGCGGGGGACGGGGCTGGCCGCGCCGTGCGGGTGATGCTGATGGCAGCGATCTCCCGTCACAGACGGACTTCAAGGCGGCCGACATGGATGTGAACACGGATCAGGACATAGAGAAGAACCTGGTGGGTATCGCCGCTGTGCCCGGTGCGGGAGCTGGAGCTCTGCCCGCAGCGTGTCTGTAGCCATCGCTGCGCCGGCCCTGGCGTTCTTGGGCTGTGCCCATTCAAGGAGGATGCACGGTCCCGCCTGCAGCTTTGGGCTGTGCATCCCTTGGTCTGTGCCCATCTAGAGGCTGAGCTTTGGAAGCGGAAGGCATTTAACTGTGCCTTCTGCTTGACCATGGCACAGCCTGCGCTCCTGCCCGTTGCTGAGCGTGCCTGCGCTTTTGGTAGCGCGAGGGGAGGGGAAAGTTCTCCCTCTATTGCCACCCTGTGCTGCAGGACAAGATGATGTCTGAGAGGGCGCTGCTGAAGGAGCGCTACCAGGAGGTGCTGGACAAACAGAGGCAGGTGGAGAACCAGCTGCAGGTCCAGCTAAAGCAGCTCCAGCAGCGGAGGGAGGAGGAGATGAAGAACCACCAGGTATTTGGCCCAGTCCTCTCTTTGTCTCACCTCCCATAGCACTGCTCTTACCCGACTGAGGCGGCTGCTCTGGCCTCATTGATTAAAATCAGGGTGGGTTTAGAACCAAAACCCTTGCTTGGGAATTTTGCTCTTTATTTGCGTGGTGCTCGTTTGACTCTAGGAGATCCTGAGGGCGATTCAAGACGTTACAATCAAGAGAGAAGAGACAAAGAAGAAGATGGAGAAAGAGAAGAAAGAATTCCTGCAGAAAGAGCAGGATCTGAAGGCAGAAATTGAGAAACTCTGTGAGAAAGGCAGAAGGTATTTGGATAGACAAGAAAGTGTTTGTTTGTGGGGGAGGCACTGCTTAACCCTGATGTGCACCTGATAAAGTAACACAGGATCACTGGAAGCAGTGTTTTGGTGAGTGGTTTTGGACAGACCTGTCTGGTTCTGGAGGGCTTTGCCACAGACACAGCACCAGTGGTTTACAGGCATCTCCGAGTGGGTTTGGGGCAGTGGGGCATTGCTCTGCTGGTTCAGTGTACGGGTGGACAGTGCTTGGCAAGGGTAATGTGCAGCTCAGCTCCGTTGCTGCTGTCTCAGTGCTGGAGCAGGGTCTCATGGGCCTTTCCTAGGCTCTGCTGTAACACAGTCTGAGTGCTTGGGGCAAAGAACCTCAGCGTTCAGGGGGGGTCTAATGCAAGCAAGACACAAGTTATTTGTACAGATGTGAAGGTTCCTTTGGGGGTTGGACCTGCGCTTTACGGAGCCATCCTGTCGCATCACCAAGGGCTGATGTTTCCTACTCCAAGGGCTCGGTGATGGTTTGGGATAACGCTGCTTTAATAACAGCCCCAAGAGCACAGCTCCTGTTCCCCCCAGTTGCAGAGCTGTGTTGGCAGCGTGGCACAGCTCCCCACAGCGAGTGCTGGTTCTATGCCACACTCTTTGTGCAGTGGCATGATACAGCAGAATCTTTGCTATGGAGGATGTCAGTGGTTGCTTTCAAATGGTATTGAATGGGGCAGCCTCCAAGTGGGGGTAAAAAGTCTCCTGTGTCAGCAAGGTGTTCACACTGGCGTTCAGGGCTGGTGATGGCCCCTCCACAGCTGTGACCGCACTTCTCCTTTCTCCCCTGTGCAGGTTGCTGAAGGAGCAGGAGGAGAAGGAGAACAAGATTGCGTCGCTGATCGCAGAGCAGTCTGATGAGAAGTGAGGCTCTTCCCCCGTTAACGCTGCTGGGTTCTCTTTTCCCTCCAGTCACTTGGCCTCAGAATGAATCCGATGCTGCTGGCAGGGTGGGCTGCAGAGAGCACTCGGATGGCGCTGCCTGGGTTTTATCTGCTCCTCCAGCAGCCCTGTCTCTGCAGTAAATCCTCCTTCATCCTGGTCACAAACAGGCTCCTGGATACTTGTGACATAAAGATCCCCTAGGATTAGAGTTTGTGCTCAGGGGATTGACTTGGCTGTAACTGCTACCTCTGAGTGAATTGCAGCTTCCCAGAGTCAGGGTACTCCTGTTCTCTGCGTGCTTCCCACAGCTCCACAGCTGCTCTGAGCTCTGGCGTGCTTGGGTGTGTTAAAGCTGGGCAGAGAAGCTCCAGAGCAGGGGGAGTTGGTCAGCTCTCCTGCTCCACGCCGTGCCAGTGCCTGAGCTGCCTTCTGTTCTTGTCTGCAGGCAGCTGTGGGAGATGGAGCTGGATAAGCTGAAGAACCAGCACAATGAGATCAACAGGAACATTCTTGAGGAGACAGAACGGGCCTGGAAGGCAGAGGTGATGTCTTACCTGCAGACAGGTGTTGAAGAGCGTCTGTCTGAGATCCCAGACTGTTAATGAATGATTGTGGGAAGTGAGGGGTGCAGTGCGAGCCTGTCCCCTTGCCGTGGGACAAGAGAGGGGTAAACAAGTATCAGTGCAGTAAACCTGAGTCTGGAGTGGTGCCTGGTGGCCTCAGCATGGCTCAGTGAGGAGGTGATGGTGCATGGAGAAACAAGGGAGCACAAGAACTGCTCCTCATGTGGGGCCTCTCTCTGCTAGATCCTGTCTCTGGAGAGCCGGAAGGAGCTGCTGGTGTTGAAACTAGAAGAGGCAGAAAAAGAAGCAGAGCTGCACCTCACCTACCTCAAGTAAGTCTGTGCAGCCCCAGAAAGGGCAGGTAACGCTTGTCCCTGTGCGCCCATCTACCTGCCCGTCTTCTCTGCCTACACTGGCGGTTTGAGTGAAATCAAGGTTTCCTGTGGTTTGCTTGCTAAATTCATGTGATTCAGTCATGATGCAAAGCAAGGATATGTGGGGCTGTGCTTACTGCCCATTGCTGTTTGCCTGCTGAGCACGTGCTGTGCCCTAGATGAGTGCTGTAGGCACAGTGTTGAGCCCATGCCCTTGCGTCTGTCCGCCAGATCAATGCACTCTGGTGGCGCCATGTGCTCTCCTCTTGTGGGGTGTGAGCCCCTCTTCCCACCAGCCGAGGAGGGGGGTGCAGGAGCCTTTGGGGCTGACCTCTTCCCGCTGTGCTGCCCGGGAGAGCGCGGTGCCAGTGGCAGAGCGCAGCTGTGCTTGCAGGTCTGCGCCACCCACGCTGGAGACCATGAGGCCGAAGCAGGAGTGGGAGATGAGGCTCAACAGGATACGAATGACCAAGGAAAGCGTCCGAGTAAGTCCCCAGGCTCCCAGCCTGACACTGGGCAGCTCCTTGCACAGGTGTTCCTTCGTGTGGAGTTACAGCCCTTTCTGGGAGAGGACCAAGATGTGTGTCCAAAAGCCTGGCACTGCCTTTGTAAGCAGCAGCAGTGATTGCCTGCCTGCAGCTTCAGGCTTGTGTGTGCACAAGCCCAATGGGATGGAAGTTATTAATGGAAAAGCAGTTACTCTGTTTCTCCTGTCAGGTCTTTTTCATTCCCTGACTCGTGGAACCAGAGGGTGTCCAGGGTAGGGCCTGCAGCCGTCCTGGGGCTGGTGATGCTCTGCCCAGGCAGGAATCTGCCTCAGCAGACTCTTTCTGAAGCACATCTGTTCCTGTGCTCTGGGCTAGGATCAGTTCAACGACCACATTCAGATGGTGAGGAACGGAACCAAGCTGAGCAGTCTCCCACAGATCCCCACGCCAACGCTGCCCCCTCCACCCTCAGAGGTGAGTGTCTCTCCAGCCCCGCGCAGATGTGTCCCTGTGGCACTCAGGCCTGTACCTGGCTGTGCCTGCGCTGCTTGCATTGATGGAGGCTGGGGGGGACTGCGTCTCCTGGAGGCCTGTGCTCGTCCTCTGTCTGTTTGTGCCTCCCTGCAAAGGAGGGGAAGGGTCCCTTCCCCTTGCCTTCAGTAGAGCCACCAGTGCCTGTGGTTCAGTGCTGCTCGTGCCTGGCTGGGGAGGAGGGCACTCAGCTCTGCTTTCCCGTGGGTTTATTCTAACCAGCCTTTTCCTCTCCCCCTGTTTTTCTTTCTCAGACAGATTTCATGCTGACGGCATTCCAGCCCAACCCCTCCCTTACTCCCAGGCTCCCGTTCCCCATCGGACCGGTCCCCGTGCCCATGGTGATGCCGAGCGCTGACCCCCGGGCGCTCTCCTTTCCCCTGCTGAACCCTGCCATCTCCAGGCCCAATCAGCCCTCCCCTCCGCTGCCCGCTTCCCAGGGAAGGAACAGCCCCGTGGTGGCCTCGCTGATGGGCACGCACAGCCCTCACGTGGCCCCCGCGGCCTCCATCCCACCGCCGCCGGGGCTGGCAGGCGTCAGCGTCGCTCCCGAGTTCCACAGGCTGCAGCCGGCCGACAAGCTGGAAAAGCTCCTGGACAAGCTGCTCGCGCGGTTCCCGCAGTGCAACAAGTGCGTGCGTGGCGGTGCCCTTCCTGAGGGGGTCTGTGCTGAGGGCACACGCTGCTCTGCTGGCATGTGGGGTGCCCCACGTGCTGGCGGCGCTGGGAGCTCTTAGCAGGCTGCTGTCCCCGCAGGGCCCAGCTCACCAACATCCTGCAGCAGATCAAGACTGCCCGGAGGACCATGGCCGGCCTGACCATGGAGGAGCTGAACCAGCTCGTGGCGGCCAAGCTGGCGGAGCAGCAGGAGCGGGCAGCGGCCGGGGCTCAGGTGGGACTGGGATGCTTGTGTGACTCCAGCTTTCCCTTGGGAAACTCATCTGCCCTTTCCTTCCGGGCTTCTCTGAGGCGCCTTGTTTCCCTTGCTGCAGCCTCTCAGCCGGATCAGGGCACCCATGTTCTCTGCCCCCCTGCCCCAGATCAGCACACCCATGTTCCTGCCCCCGGCCCAGGTGGCTTACCCCGGAACAGCGGCACACGTAAGGCTTTTGGGCTTTCCTGGAGCACTTTGCCACCCCCATGGAAGTCAGAGGGAGGAAGCGGTCGCACTGCGGCCCTGGCTGCAGCTGCTGGGATGAGCAGCTGGAGTGTGGAATATGTGATCCGAGCTGGGGTGCCTGACTTCTGTTCCCTGTCTGCTTTCTGTCCCTTCACTGCTCGTCCCAGACCCCGGCTGCCTGCAAGCTGTGTCTCATGTGCCAGAAGCTGGTGCAGCCCGGTGACCTTCACCCCATGGCCTGCTCGCACGTGCTGCACAAGGAGGTGAGTGCTGCCACGCTGTGCTACGTGTTCCTCCTCACGCTTCCTAGTGCAGATTCCCTTCCAGGGCCCTGGGTGTGTGTAGTGAGCCCCTGTTGTACTGAGAGCTTGCCTGGAGCAGGATGTGACCAATAAACAGCTCTGCATCCTCTCATCCCTCCTTCCTGTGCTCTGAGCTGGGCAAATCTGGGAAAATGGTGTATTGAGGCGGGTCTGATGGTCCTGCTGGCACGGAGGGGCTCCCTCCATGGGGTGGCCTCAGGATGGAGGCTGTCACCATGGCGTGAAGGAAACCATCCCTTAAAGTGAGTGCCCTGGGCAGCGCTGCTCAGGAAGGAGCGGTCACAGCACGTGGACGTTGTGCTGGTGGCTCTTGACTCATGCTCTCTTCCAGTGCATCAAGTTCTGGGCCCAAACCAACACGAACGACACTTGCCCCTTCTGCCCAAGCCTCAAATGACGCTACTGGAAGAGAGGGGTCCCACGGGAGGAGTTGCTGTGAATAGACAGGATCAGTTCTAAGATTTCTACAGTTCTATATTTATACGGCCATGTATACACATGTACATTTTTATTATATAGGTAATGTGTGTATAGAAAGTCTGTATACATACAAATTCATAAATAAAGTGTGTATATTATGCAGTGACCTCGTGCTGCTCCTCACTTCTTAGCTCGCAGCCTTTCTCTTGAGTGGGACCAGGCAGCCTGGGCTGCGGATGCTCCCCATAACCACCTCTTCTTGCCAAGCTCCTGCTCCGGGCTGGCATTCCTGGAGCTCCGTGCTTGCCACAAGCCACTCCCCCCACAGGGCACCTCACTGCCCCATGCCCCAGCCATCACCCAGCACTGGGCAATGAACAGCTTCCAGGCGAGCAGCAGCTTTGGTGGTCTCTTTTTTAATGTAATAATAATTTACCGTGGTAACATTCATTGTTCTTACACAGACAATAGGTTACAGAGTACTGGGGCCTGCAGCGACAGCGGCGGTACCCATCCCGTCCCCATCGCCCTCCTGTGGGGCAGAGGCTGTGCCTGGTGCTGCAGCTCAGAGGCACCATCCTGCTGCTCTTCTCTATCTCTCCTGTACTTCCTCCTGAAGCCTGGGCTGACGCGCTGACCCATCTCCATGGATTTCGGTGGGGTTTCGAGGTGCTCAGCACCACTCCAGTCTCGCACTGGCTCCGTAGCATTTCCCCCCTTTATCTGCAGTCTGTGGCACAGACTGAGCCCCTGGGGCAGAGCACGCCGGGGTTTGGCCGCAGCCTGTGTTCCTAGGCAGCCGCTTGCCAGCGCGGGTTAAGGCAGTGTTCCAGCACGGAGTCCCGGCTCCTGGGCAGGCAGGTCCATGCGCTGTCCCGCGCTGCAGCAGCAGCAGGGCTGGATGGTTGCAGGGTTGGAGGCAGGCATGGCGCGGGCACTGCTTGCAAGCGCTGCTGGTGAAGCGGGTGCATGGAACGGGCTGCAGCGGTGCCTGCTCCTACCCTGCGCGCGTCTCCTCCTCCCACCTTGCACTGGCTCGCTTGCAGCTTTCCCAAAGCACTGCGTGACTGCAGGAGCGGCTTCCCAAGCTTTCCACGTGGTGGTTCCAGCAGCCCTGCCCTGCCCTGCCCGAGCTGCCACCTCGGCCCCGGCACCGCAGGGAGCCCATGTCTTTTGCTCACTGAGGAATGCTGCCCTTGAACGGGTGAAGTTTGCTGTTTACAACAAAGCACTTGCCTGTCCGAGGCGCAGCAGCCGCGAACTACGGCATTCCCAACTGCCCGCAGCCCCAGGGGAAGGGCCCTGCAGCGGCAGGTTTGTCCTCATGGACCAGGAGCTCCTCCCTGCGCTGGCGGAGCACAGCGAGGACAAGAGTGCCTCCTGTGCTCAGTGTCCATTCTGCTCTCTGTGTTCTCCATCTCTGCCATCCTCTTCCAACCCCCTGGCTCCATCACCGCCTCCTCCAAAACCAGCTCTGCCCACCTCCCACCCATAAAGGGCTCCCGCAGGACGCTGCTGAGCGCGCCCTGGCCATGGGTTGAGGCCAAGGCCCCAGGACTGAGCAGAGACTAAAGAGATTTAGAAAAACCAAACCAAACCCCTTGCTGTCGGGGCTGGAGCAGTCGAATTTCAGCGCTGGACTTAAAAATAGAGCTATATGTGTGTATGGTACAGGTGAGAAGCTGGGGTGCGGCGTGGGACCTGCTATGTACAGGCTGATGGGCAGAGCTGCACTACTAGGGACTCGCATCAGATATATAAAAAAGAAATAAATACAAGTGGGTTTACAAAAGAAGGAATGCTGCAGTCCCAGAGCTGCGGGTGCCTGCGCCTCGGGAGCAGGAGCCAGGGCTGGGGTACACGGATGAGGACGCAGGGGGAGCAGAGAGGAGCTGCTGTGCCCGGCCGCGGGCTTGCTGGCGGTGAGGCAGGGCAGGGGCTGCGGCACGGGCTCCCCTATGGCTTTGAACGGGCGGGTGGGCTGGGGAGCACCGTGTCCTTCCGTCCCTCCCCGTGGGGCCAAGGCTGCTCCCATCCCCTTGGGAACGTGGCGAGCGAAAGCGGAGCGGGGTGAGATGCTTGCGTGCTCCTGCCTGTCCCGAGGCAGCCGGGAGGGCAGGGAGCCCTGTGCTGGTGGCACTTGCACAGAGCAGGGGAAATGGCTCGAGCAGATGGTGTCCAGGGGAGCAGGAGGATGGGAGGGAAAGCTGTGCCTCTGGCAGCTCCTGTCTGGGCAGCCCCAGGCTGGTCCTGCGTGGCTGTCTCCAAAAAGCCTGGGGCTGGGGCTGGGAGGCTCCAGAGATGTGAGCTCTGGAGCGTGGCTCAGCAGGTATCCACGCAGGGAGCTGCACGGGCAGGCACGGCTGCAGCACAGTGCACACACACACACAGCTCCCTGCATGGAGAGCTGCAGGGTGGGCTCAGAAGGGATGCTGCACAGGGATGGAGGGCGAAAGCGGACAGGCAGGGGATGGCTCATCAGCGTGACTCCCCAGCAGGCACAGCCCCCAGGGCCAGGAGGGTCTGTGCTCCCCACGCCGCTGCCCTGCTCCACGCTGCAGCCCCCAGAGCAAGGCCCTCCCTGTCCCTGCCCCACTGCCTCACCTGCACCCTGGGGCCGCCCCTGCGTTCCACCATCACTTCAGCAAGGATATGTCATCGGCGAAGTCGTCGTGGTCCCGCCGCAGGCAGTGGAAGCAGCGCCACTGGAACACCATGAGGCAGAGGGGCAGCATGAAGAGGGCGCAGATGGCTGCCATCACGTAGGCGATGGTCATCAGGGTGGACTCGTCCGTCTGCGGGATGTTGTAGCCGCAGTCCTCCATGTTGGAGTGCAGGTAGGGCCCCTCCACTGCGGCCGTCCGGAACTCGTCGTGCACTGAGGGGGCGAAAGGCAGGGTCACTGCATGCCCACATCCCCTCTGCTTCTCCCTCCCTGCAGGCCCGGCCCTCACCGTGGCAGGCGCTGACAGCAAAGCCGATGCGCTTTCGGGCACGGTCGAAGACCACGTAGAAGCCCTCCATGATCACGGCGCCCATGACGGTGCCCGTGGAGGACTGGGAGATGGCGAACTTGTAGCAGTCGTCCTGAGAGGTGGCCACGTCCTCCACGGGGCGCAGGTATTGCTGCAGGAAGAGAGATGCCAGCAGGAATGGGGCAGGCAGCTGTGCCCACCCAGCAGCGGTACTAGGCAGGGTCAGCGCTCACCTGGGGCAGGATGGTGATCCGGAAGGACTGGTTGGTGGCCTCCCCCATCAGGTAGAGGGACAGGACCGGGAAGATGTGCCAGGGGGTGGTGCCAACCTGCCAGCAAACCAGCTGCTCCCCCAGCCAGAAGCCATCCGGGAACTTCTCCGTCTGCAGAGGGAAGGGAGGTGAGCAGAGCACTGATGCTCAGGCTGGTGACAGGCAGCCACGCTGCCTGCAGCCCTGTGCTGGCGCAGGGATGTGCCCACAGGGGAGGGAGGGATGGGTTCCACTGACCGAAGAAGCCGTTTTGATGGATTTCACCGCAGCCTCAAACACCTTCTTTGGCAGCCTGAGGTTGGTGGTCCCACTGTCCACAATACTCTTGTCATAGTTGTACTGGGGGCAGAGGAGGAGGGCCCGAGATGCAGACCCCAGCCTTGCTCCCCTCCCAAAGCCCCTCAGCAGGAAGGTGGATGCTGCTGCAGCAGCAGTGACAGAGCGGGTGCCCTGCTGTCCCCTCACCTCTTTGCAGTCCATGTTCAGGTCCTGCCCATTGACCTCCAGCTTGACAATGATGACCTCGTAGTACCACTCCTTCCGGATGGGTGTGTACCAGATGTCACCCACGTACAGCGAGCGGTCGATGCCACCAATGATCTGCAGCAGGTATAGAAAGGGGATGCCATGGTGCCCTGTCAGCTCTGATGGGGCACACCCCATGTGGGCCTCCCTGGTGCTCCTGCAGCAGAGCACTCACCATGCTGCCTCCCACCGATGCCAGCGCCTCCGTCTCATTGGGGGAGAAGCCTGCGCCGCAAAGCTGGAGGGAGAAGATGTTGGGCACCCGGGTCTGCTTCACCAGGGAGTCAAAGAAGGGCTCGAGGCTGTCATCGGGCTGGTGCGAGGAGAAAGCAGAGGCAGGACAGCGATGTCAGTGCTATCCCTCCTCCAGGGGCTCTCCATGCCCAGGGCAGCTCCCACTTCAGGGACCACCGTGCCCCCAGGGACCCCGGCTCTGTGTGCTGCTGGAGCTCAAGGTCACCAGCACAGCTGGAAGCTGGGCCCCTGGGACCGAGCAGAGCAGGGCTCACCCGGGCGATCTCGGCGTACGCCAGCCCCAGGATCCCTTCCCAGTTGGAGCCGTTGATGAAGAATTTGTCTGACTCGGTGATGGCAGCGATGTTGGCTCTGACGGTGACGTTGGGGCCGTGGGGAATGGTGACAAGGTCGGTGCCCAGCTCCCCTTCCCACTTGCCCTGGGTGTAGGGCACATACACACCCTTCCGCAGGTCGCGGTAGGTGCTGGACCTGCAATGGCATCAAAGAGCTGTGTGGACCCATGCTTCCAAGAAGGGACAGCGTGGGGCCAGGGCTGCATCCCTGTGCTCTCTGTGTTCCCCCCCAGCATACTCACAGCTGCCGCTGGTAGTATCTCCGGAGGAAGGGGTGAGGTGCAGCTCCGACAGCAAAGTTACTGCTCCCTGTGTCCACCAGGATGTTCAGCTGGAGAAGGAAGAGACACGGATGGTCAGAGTGCAGTGGGACCCTGCTGCACCATCCACCTGGCTCTGTCCGGCTCTGCAGGTGCGTGCTGCTTTCCCTAGTCCCATGGCAGGCACACGGTGGCTGTTGTACCATGTGCACGTGTGGGGCTGGAGGGAGCAGCAGCAAGATGGGGTCCCTGCATCCCCTTGCTGGGAAACCTGATTTGCTCCCAAAGCTGCTGGGAGGATTGATGGCCCAGCACTGCGCATTGCTGGCCCCGCTAATCAGCCACCCATATGCTGAGCTCTGCTCCTGGTTCCCTTCTGCCTGTGCCTGGGATTACCAGCTCAGGCAGGGGCTGGCACACATCCTGCCCCCAGCTGAACCCTGCCTGCAGCAACAGCACCACGGAGCTTCAGCCCTTAATCTGTGGAGCAGAGGGGAGAGGAGGAGGGTGATGAGCCCGTGCTCATCGCAGGAGCACTGGGCTATGGGTACTGGAGCCTCTTGCCCGGCGCACTGCAGCCCAGGTGGCTGCAGGCAGCATGTGCTGGGGGGGACAGGGACAGGTCCCCCAACCCCAGGCTGCTGTCTGGCCCAGGGGGACATTGCAGGCCACGGGTAAAGATCAGAGCTGCACGTTTGTCCCCTTGGGTGAGCACCAGGAGCTGCTGGGAGCCCGCTGCGCATCCCCACCTTCCCATGGCAACGCAGCAACTCCAAGCCCGGCTGCTGCACTGGGACCATTCCCAGGGTGGCTCTGTTTGATCAGTGGGTAGGGGCCATCTGCTCCACACAGCTCATCTCTGCTGGTCCCTGGAGATGGGTTTCCCCTGCGGAGCTGATGCTGCGGGGAGAGGAGGATGCAGGTGGCAGGGAGGGACTTTGCTCTCATCGCAGAGAAGGTGAAAGGTGGGAGGGAGATGGAGCAGGGGGCACAGTGGGATGCCCAGACCGCATGTGTGCCTTTGAGAAGGATGCACACACCCCTATGGACAGACACGCTCCCTGTTCTCCTGCATATGCACAGCCATTGCTCTCTTCTTTCATGTGAATCTCTTGATTCCATGGCAGCGCCTGGAGGAATCCAGCTCAGCGCACACACACGCGCCTGCACACGCACCACGTTCCTGTCTGGATGGAGGCCAAGGCTGGAAGATGCTGCCCAAAAGGGTGAGCGGATTGGGAGCGCCCTGGAAACAGGTGGTTCGCAGGGCAATTGTGTGGCAGCTGCGACACGTGGCAGGAGATGATGAAATCCCATTGGAAACGAGGTGTTAGGATTAATCTCCTCCCTTTCCCCCTCAACATCTCCAGGCACGCAGGGACACCACGAGACCCGATTCCTGCCTCCCTCCCCTGTCCATGGTTCACATCCCACTCGTGTTGCTCTCTCCCACCATGTGCTGTGCTGGATGGAGCCGGCTCGAGGGGAGAAGCCAGCCTTTATCTCGGAGGCTGCGTGGGCTCTGCGTGCTCTGGCAGCGCCAGCCCTTGTGGCGGGTGGGAGGTGTGCGGGAACCGGCTCTATGCTGGAACGTGGACCCTGGAGCACAGGCCCGATGTGCTGCAGGCAGCGGTAGGTGATGGTGTGTGCACAAAGGATTCGGCAGCAGGAATCGGGGTGAGCTCACCCATAAAAGAGGGGAGGAGCTGGTCCAGGCAGCGCCTCGGCACCCATCCTGTCCCCAGCACAGGGGCAGATGTTGCCACACACGAGAGCTCCTGGACACAAGGGATGCTGCTGAACGGACGGAGCAGAGCCTGGTGATGCACCGGCTCTGCCCTGCGGGCATCCGTGCCTCCCCACGCTGCCCATGGCCCTGCTGCAGCCACCACCTGCAGCCAGCCCCACAAACAGCAACCTCTGGCGCATCCCCGGCTCCGGAGGAGCCAGGCTTGGTGCTGGCACATGCCCGCAGCCGGGCGATGCTGGCAGGCGCAGGCAGCCCCGCCAGCCCCTCGCCGCCCACAGCCGTGCGGCAGCATCCTTCGGCTGGCGGCAGGGACGGATGCACGGATGCAGCCCGGCACGCACAGCACCGAGAGGCCCCGCAGCACACCCGGGTCCGAGGGTGACCTTCGGCTCCTCCCGCTGGCCCCGCTGCCGGTCACCCCCCCCCGCCCCGCGGCGGTCGTCCCTACCTTCTGCGGGGGGCTGCCCACCGTCATCTCCACGTAGTAGCCCTGCCCGGACTTGCCCCGCAGGTTGTCGATCATGTCCACGAAGCCGCCGCCGCTGCGCTCGGCCTCCTCCGGCGCCCGGCGTGCCCGGGGACCCGGCGGCGGGGCCGCGCCGCCCCGCAGCGGCAGCCGGATGCGCGGCGGGGCCGGGAGGGCGCCCGCCCCCAGCCACAGCAGCAGCCAGGGCCAGGCGGCAGCCATGGCCGCGGCCCGGACAGCCCTGCTCCCCGGGGGAACGGTGCCTATGGGGCCCGCAGCGCCCCGCGCCTCGGCCGGGCGGCCGCGCCGGGGCCGAGCGGGGCGGCGGGCATGGCGGCGCGGCGCTCCCCGCCCCGGAAAGCGCGGTCGCGCCCGTCCGCCCCCCTCCCGCCGGCGGAAGCGGTGGCTGCAGCGGCCCCGCGCGGCTCCCGCAGCCTCCCCGCAGCCCCCGGGCCCGGCTGCGGCCCGGTCCGGCCCGGGGGTACCGGCGGGGCCGGGGCGGGCCGCGGGTCGGGGCGATGCGTCGCCATGGCAACGGGCGGGGGGGGCCCGCCCCGGCCGCACTACAGCCCCCGGCAGGCGCCGCCGCATGATGACTTCACGCGTCCCTCCAGCCAGTCCGACGCCGGGCGGGCTGTGCGGACCAATGGCAGATGGCCGGGGGCGGGCGTTAGCGGTTCCCGGGACCCGGATGTGACGGCGGCTCCAGGCAACCCGTGAGCGTCCGTGGAGGCGGTGGCGGCGTGGCCGGGCCGGGGCCCGGGGCTGGGCCGTGCGGGGTGAGCTGCGGGGCCGGGGGGAGCGGGTGACCGGGAACGGGGCCCGGGAACGGGGCCCAACCCCGCCTTGAGGGACGGGAACGGATCTGGAGCGAACCCCCGCATCCGGGAGCGTTGCTCGGGTCCGCTGGGGACGGGAGCGGCGCGGCGCTGCCTGGGCTCAGCGCGGCCCCGGGGGTTAAGCCCGGGATTAACCGTTCCTCCTGAGCCTCCCTTTACATAAAGCTTTAAACGCGGCGCGGGCGGAGGTGGCTGCTCGGTGCCGGGCACGTGGGGCCCGTCCTGCAGCCGGAGCGCATCGCTATGCGGTAAAGATGCTCGGGCATCCCGGCCCCTGCTAGGACACCGCCGCAGGTGATGATCACTGTGATTCCTATGTCGCTTCCTTCATGCCGCCAGATGCAGAGAGCCATGGAAGAACCCATGGTGCGCATCGGTGACCAGATCATCCTGGAAGAAGATTACGATGACACCTATGTTCCCAGTGAGCAAGGTAACGGATCCTGCCCTCCCGGGAGCTGGGAGATGGGATTCGTGCATGCAAGTCACTGCCAGTGTATTAAGAAAATAGGAACTGGGGAGAGCGTGAGGGTAGAATAGATGGGATTTTGTAGAAGACAGGGTGAACAATTAACTTTCTGGTTGTAAAGATAAATGGCATTTTGCAGTCTGCCTCCAGCCTGGCAGGGAACCATGGCACAGTGCGTCCACTGACACATGGGCCACTCTGGCAGCTCTGTTTCCCCTGGGTGCTGTGCTTTAGTTGGGGAAGTTGGCTTTATTGCTTAGTGCCTGGTGCGGATCACCTCCACTGGTTCCTCTTCTGCTTTCCAGAAGTCCACGATTATGCCCGGACGATCGGGATTGACCCCAAGAAGGAGCCGGAGCTGCTGTGGTTGGCCAGGGAAGGCATCGTGGCCCTGCTTCCTCCTGGGTGGAAGCCTTGGTGAGAGCTCTGTCAGTGGCGGGGGTCCTGCCCTTCCCTGCTCTGTGCTGCCCACATCAGTGGCAGTCTGATGGGAAGTTGGATGTGGATGTGAGCAATCTCTAAGAGAGCTCCTTCCTCACACCAATGTGTCTTTGGGCTCTTGGTGATTCAGTAAGGATGTGCTGGAACGTGCAGCTCTATCTGTATGTGCTCTTTCACCTTTTCATGGTGGTTTTGCCATGCAGCCAAGACATCACTGGTGAGATCTATTACTTCAACTTTGCTAATGGCCAATCCATGTGGGACCACCCGTGTGATGATCACTACAGAAAGCTTGTCATTCAGGAGCGAGAGAAGCTGCTGGCGTCTGGCAGCTTGAAAAAGAAAGAGAAGAAGAAGAAAGAAAAGAAAGAGAAGAAGAGCAAGAAGGAGAAGCAGTCATTGAAGAAGCTTGCTGTGAGTAGACTCCACTTGCAGTGCTTCTGGGGAGGCTGGGCAGAGAGTTCTCATGATAAATGGATGCTTTTGGGAGAAGCAGAGGTGAGACTGCAGTCAGATTACCTGTAGTTGCTGTCATAGATGCTGTCTAGAAATGTCATTGTCTTCCTCTGGGAATAGCTGGATCATTTTGCTCTGTTCTGCCCAAACTGTTTGTCCATAAGTAATTGCCTCAGTTTAATAAGAAGCCACTGACTCTCGTGTTCTGAAGTAAGAAATGATCTGAAAGGTCAGTGTGTTTAATGTTAATGGATTGCTGTGCTGCTGGGGGTGCCCAGCTGTGGCTCCACCACGTCACAAACGCAGGTTTCCAGTTACCCGCATGTGGTGGTGCTCACTGATAAGAACTATGACTATAAATATCAGGTAAAGTGGAGATTACTCTGCAAGTTTTAATTAGCCCAATGGAAGCGGGTTTATCTTTGCTGAAGGACAGCTAACATCCTCTGCTCTGCATGAACTTGTGGTTAATGGCCATCTGCAGAAAATAATCAGTGTGATTTATTCTGTTACAGTGGAGTGTGTGATTTATTCTGTTGCCATTGCTGTGGCAGTGACTTTGTGGAAGAAGGATTGGTGCACATTCATCTCCCTGCTCCTCAGCCTAAGAGTGATTTAGCTCTGCTTTCAGTCTGCAGCCTGGTGCAGACACAGCGCAGAGGAGCTGTGATGTCTGAATGTGCATGTGCTCTGCTGGAGCATGAGCTGACATACGTGCTACAGAGAAAACCCTGGCATATGTGTGCTGCGAGCTGAACCTGTGCAGGGTCATGGGGTGGGAACTCCATGGTCATGGTCACGTTTCGGGGGGGGGGGATAACTTGATGTCAAACATGAGCTGCTGAGAGGGGAGGATGTTGGATGGCTCCTTGGGCTCTTGCTGCCTTTTGAAGGGGAGAGATGTATTTAGTAGCTTCTTGTGGATGTGCTGCAGCAGAGTGCTTTGTGAGTGTGTAACTTTTCCACTGGTGTAAGGTAAGGAAGCAGCCTGGATCTCTGTCCAAAACGAGGTGGTAATTGCAGCTTGGGGAGAGTAGGAGGCTTCTTGCCATCAGAATGGTTTCTCCTGCACTCATTTCATGCTGTGCAGAGCAGCAGAGCAGAAGGGGAGCTGCCCAGTTTGCCTTGGGTGCATGGCACTGGGTAAGAGCCCTCCCAGAGGGTGCTGTGTGTGGGTACGTGTGAACTGGTGTGGTGGCTGTTGTTCTTGCTTTGGTTTGGAGTGATGCCCATTGATTTTCTGGATTGCCTTGCTGCTGTAAGGTAAATCACTGTATTCAGATGGGCCTTTGGAAGACAAAATGTGTGAGTAAATCAAAGTGTGTATCGTGCTGGGCATTGCTGGGCGTTGGGTCTCACAGGCAGCTCTCAGTGGTGGTGGGTCTCGTTTGGGCTTGGTCCTGTCTGTTGTGAGGAGCCATGTCCCGTGCTGTGTCAGTGAGCCCTGTGCACATTCCAGCCCGCAGGCATGCTGCTGGCACCCGTGCAGGTGCCCCCGGGGGGCCTGGCCCCGCTGCGTGGGGTCCCAGCACCCCTGCTCCCCGGCCTGCGCCCCAGCCCGCTCCCCCTGCAGCTTGGCAGCCCCGCGCCCGCCGGCCTCCTCACCGGAGCAGGGACACAGGTAAGGTCCTGGCTCTGGGAATGCGCTGCAGAGCATCTCGGGATGGGGACACTGAGAAGCATTTGTGATGTCTGTTAAACCCCACTTCCCTGCTGTCCCTCACCAGTGGTAACTGTTCTCTTGCTGTTTCTAGGGAGCCCAGTACTAAATCTGTGCTGAGCTTGCTTCTGCTGTGATTGGCAGATTTAAAGAAAGAACTGTTTCAGTTACTGTTGGCGGGAGAAGTCTGTTAAGTTCATCTGAGTAGAACATTGATTTGTGTGATATGCATTACGGATAACGTAATGTGGTAAATCATATTGTCCCTCAACTATTCGCTAAGAATAAAAAGTGAAAAGCAGAGTTTTCTGGCTTCCAAGCAGGTCAGTCTTTTGAAAGGAAACAAAACCAGTGTAGTGCCAAACATACAGATCAGCACCTTCACTGAAGGTTTTAGTCTGGCTAAGCCTTATCACTGGTGATTTCAAGGATTTTGCTTTTATTATGGGCTGAGCAGGACTGAACCAGTGTTTTGAGGCACAGGCAGGTTTTGCAGCTGTCATCCTAGAGGACAGGACCCTCTGATCTAAGGGACAGCATGGCCTCATAAGGAGTATATGCTCTCCCAACTGGCCATGGCTCTAGCAGAACAAGGGTAGCAGCACAATCTTGAGCACCTTCTTGGAATTCAGCAGCTCCCCTGCTGCTGGCCAGTGTCTCAGTGGGTTTGTGTCCGCCCTTTCCCTTGGCTGTCCTCTCACCTCCCTTCTCTTTGGCCCCACAGCCTGCAGAGACCTGTAAGGCTGCCAACCAGATGAAGAAGTTGCTGGGCTTGGTCTGCGAAGAGGAGAGTTCCTTCAACCCAGGGGCTGTAGATAAAAGGAGAAGTGAAGAGGAAGGAAGTGAAAATGAGGTGGGTTGTGCCTTGGTTCTTAATGTGAGTCAGTAACTGTAGTGCAGGAGACCTCAGAGAATGAAAAACTGATGCTCTGGTGGTTGACCGTAGCTGTTCCATTTGACTCAGGGCCTTAGTTTGTGCTGTGCTTCCTCTGCGTTGTTGGGTCACCAAAAAGCATCTAATCCTTTTCTGTCATGGTACTCCCTGTAAGTCACCGTCTGCCATGAGGTAATTCCAAAAGGAAGGGGCTGTAGGTGTGTTGCCTGGGAGCAATGCTATAGCTTTACTGTCTTATTTTGAGGCTTAGGAACCCGCAGTGCCTCCTGTGTGCTGGTGGGATTGCAGGGGTCAGAACTCAGTTTTGACCATCCCTCTTTTGCTTTTCCATACTTTAGAGCTCCTATGAGACACGAGGACTGTTCAAAAACCTGCATGTGGATGTCAGTGCCCTGGGAGGCAGCTTTGACTCTGAGGTAAGACGTTTGTGAGCAGGACCAACCCGGAGCAGGCTGATGGAGGCACAGCAGCAGGGTT